CTCTCACCTGGAGTTGTTCTTGATGTAATAGCTCTAACTGAACAAGACGGTGAGATATTCAGGTCTTCCTTAGGTGGAGTGTTTGTTAGTTCACGCGCTAGGCTAAAAGACATGAAACCAGAATAGTAAATAATTTTTATATTTTTCCTTTATGATATGAGCCTGAAGTGCAACTATCAATTCCTTTCAATGTTGCAGTAAAACAGTGAAAACATTTAATTGAGTGCTTTATATCTGATATCAATCCAAAATAACTTAATTGGTGTGACAGTAAGACTGGAAAATTACAGCACACAGAGTTTATAACAACAGAATTAAATTGCCACTGAAGAAAAGTCTGGAGATTTATCAATGCTCAGTACTTGACCCCTATAGTAATGAGGGATTGCCCTACTTTCAGAGATGCCATGTTTTGATCAGACTCTAAACAGAGGCCTTATCTGCTTTCCTATTGTTGCTTGTGGAATTCGCTGTGTCATAAAAGCTGCAGCATTTCCTCTTTGACAAGTTAAAAAGTACTGCACTGATGTAAAGTTCTTTTTCCAGTGCACTCAACGGGACACTGGTGTGGCTGGCAGGCCAGCATTTATTACCCATCCTTAGGCACCCTTGAGAAGGTGATGGTGAGCTGCCTTCTTGCATCACTGAGGTCCATGATCAAGGTTGACATTAAATGTCCTTAGGGAGAGAATTCCAGGATTTTGACCCAGTGACCACAAAGGATGGTGAATGCTTTGGAGGGCAACTTGCAGGTGGTGGTATTCCCATGAATCTGTTGTCCTTATCCTTCTAGATGGATGTGGTCATAGGTTTCAAAAAGGTACTAAGGATCTTTGGTGAATTTCTGCAGTGCATCTTGTAGATAGTACACACTGCTGGTACTGAGCGCCGCCAGTAGAGGCAGTGATGTTTGTGGATGTGGTTCCAATCAAGTGGGTTTTGTCCTGAATGCTGTCAAGCTTATTGAGTACTGTTGGTGTTGCACTCATCCAGGAAAGTGGTGAGTATTCCTGACTTGTGCATCATTGAGGGTGGACAGGGTACAGCGAGTCAGGTGGTGATTTACTCACCACAATATTTCTAGCCTCTGGCCTGTTCTTGTAGCCACTGTTTTTATGTGGCAAATCCATTGAATTTCTGGTCAACGGTAATCTCCAGGATGTTGATAATGAAGGATTCAGTGATGTTAACACCACTGACAACACAAAGGTTGATGGTTAGATTCTCTCTTATTAGAGATGGTCAATGCCTGGCATTTGTGAGATTGGAATGTTACTTGCCACTTTTCAGCCAAGTCTGGACTTCGCTCAGATTCTGTTGCATTTGAACACCAACTGCTTCAGTATCTGAAAAGTTGTGAATGGTGCTGAACATTATGTAATCGAAGGCAAACATCCCCATTTCTGACATTATTATGAAGGAAGGTCATTGATGAAACAGCTGAAGATGGTTCAGTCTAACACACAATCCTGAGGGGGTCAAGCAGAGATGCCCTGGAGCTGAAACGACTAACAACCACTATCATCTTTGTGTGTGTCAGGTTTGACTCCAGGCAGCGAATAGTTTGCCCTTGATAGCCAATTCTAGTTTGGCTAGAGCTCCTTTATACGACTGTCAAATGTAGCCTTGATGTCAAGATCTCACCTCTGAAATGTAGCTCTTTTGTTCATATTTGAACCAAGACTGTAATGAGGTCAGGATCTGAATGGCCCTGGTGGAACTGAAACTGGGAGTCACTGAGTAAGTCGTTGGCTGAAGACTGGTATCTACGATACTGGGGACCACCAGAGGAAGCCAAGATGGATCATCCACTCAGCACTTCTGGCTATGAATGCTTCAGTCTCATCTTTTGGACTAATTTGTTGGTCTATTCCAACATTGAGGATGGGGATATTTATGAAGTCTCCTCCTCCAGCAAGTTGATTAAGTGTCCACTTTCACGACTGGATGCGGCAGGACTGCAGAGCTTAGATGTGATCTGTTAGTCGCGAGATCACTTAGCTCTGCCTACCATTTGCTGCTTATGCTATTTGGCATGCAAGATAGTTTTGTTTAATACCTTCACCAGGTTAACATCTTATTTTTAGGTATGCCTGGTGCTGCTCTTAGCATGCCCCCCAGCACTGTCCATTGAAACAGGACTCTTTGGCTTGATGTTCAAATGAGGGTATGCCGGATCATGAGGTTGCAGACTGTGAAGTACAATACTGCTGCTGTTGATAACCCACAGTGCCTTATAGATGCTGAGGCTTGAGTTTTTGGATTTGTTCTCAGTCTGTTTCATTTAGCGCAACGACAGTGCCACAAAACACAATAAAAGGATATTCTCGACGTGAAAGCAGGACTTTGGCTCTACAGGGACTTTGAGACATCCGGTGCTGGTGAAAAGTGCTACATAAATGCAGTTCTTCATTTTTTGTTTCATAAACATGTCTTTCAACTTCCCTCATTTTATATGGAAGCCACCACAAGTAAGTAATCACCCAAGACTTGGAAGATGTGGCCAGAAGTCACACGTCACCAGGTTATAGTCCAACAGGTTTATTTGAAATCTCAAACTTTTGGAGCGCTGATTCTTTGTCAGGTGACATGTCCACCCTTGTCCAACCCAGGTCCAATACTAGCACCTCCAAATCTTGGAAGATGTGGGCTGAGTTTAAAATGGCTTCATCACCAGCCAATTTTTAGCTTGCAAATGAAATGCATAAACTTTGGTCAAAGTTTTAAATTATTGGTACCAGACACGATACTGGTCACCATGGCTTTTAATCACAGTATTGTACAACCCCCTTGTATATCAATTAGAATTTGATCAAGGCTTTTTATTATATCATTACTCCTTTTGATTCCCAATTCAAAATCTCTCACTTGAGGAAAATTTTATGTCTAAAAAGCTGCACATATTCCAAAATGTGAGGTATTATACAGCTCTGAAAATCAAACATTATCTTTTCCCAGCTGATATGCAACTTATTTGGATGTGGACCTAAGTTCGCTGACAAATAGATCTGGAAATTGCATGATTTGGCAATAAAAGTCAGCTAAAACGCTGTGGGGGCATTGCTTTCTGCTAACTGTTGTCAGACAGAAGCAGGAGAATGATGTTATCCATCAGAAAAAAAAGCAATTGATTTTTCTTCTTTAACCATATACTATATCTAATCACATAAAGAATCTCCTGTTTATTTCAGGAAATATGCACTTGCCATGATATAATACTCTCATAGGAACTAGGCACAAACATGCTTATTGTTTTACCTGGATGCTCTGCTACTGCAACCTGAACCACTACGGGACCGAGAACTGCTCCTGCTGCCGGACCGAGAACTGCTCCTGCTGCCGGACCGAGAACTGCTCCTGCTGCCGGACCGAGAACTGCTCGTGCTGCTGCTGCTGCTACTACTACTGCTGCTTTTGAATCTCTTTCTATACTTCTGTCGTGGTTTATTCTTTTTTTGGCACTTCAAGGCAGACTTGTAGTCTGAAATTATTTTTGTAATTTGTGTTTCAAATAAGGCAGACAACCTGAGTGTCATGCTGTATATCTGTAACCACAAACAAATATATCAAAGTAAACATTTGTAATTTATAATGCTTTATTATTGTTAGAGCAAAGTCAAAATTTTGCCGGCTGCACCCAACAGCATTTTCCACTGAATTTCAAAATATGGAAGTAAGAAGTCTAAGTAGTGCATTGAGACGATTGTTTACTCTCCCCCGAACAACTTGCTAGTGCAAGTCAAATCTGTTGCAGGGTTGATTGTCCATATAACAGCAATGCAATAAAACTAGACTTATTTCATAAAATGACAGGACTAGAAAATATTTTGGTTGGTTGTAGATATTTAAATTCAGTGGAAGCAATGTTACTATTGTTTCCCATTACCCTCTTTGGCCATTGGCCACCTCAAATTTATATAAGTAGATTACTCGACAGATGTTTTTTAATCAATGTCCATCACATTAGTTTTACACAACAATTTATCAACTTGTTAAAATATTCCACCAACAAAGCATAAATTTGGTCAATATGGAAATTGGAACTTCATCCATTTACCTTCATCACAAAACAAATGTTTAAAAATGTCCCTCGATGTTAATGTTTTTTGATAAAATGTCTCCCAATGAGGAGCAGGTCAACTGTAAATCAAATGTCTTACACAAACCTTTCCAAAAGAAAGTATTCCTTTTACCCTTGATTTCTTGTTGGGCGTGTAGGCTTTGGCGTTGCTGAATATTAAACGAACATCCTTGCAGAACTCCAGAGGGGTTTCATAATTTCCTTCTTCTAGTGTTTCTTTCACAGTGTTGAAGTCCATCGGAACATCGATGATGTCCCGATAGTCCTAAGAACGGAACGAACACATATTGCAGTTGACAGGTGGAAATATTTGCATCAAATAAGCACAATATGTTCCTGGTACAGATTTTCTCCTCAAATTCAACGGAAAATCAAACTTCAAGAACCCATTTTCTCCAAAATCAATTTTGAACAAATCAGTTTTAATAAATTAAGTCCAATGGAATTATGGATATAGCCGTACTATAGGCAGTCATATCCTTAACCAAACTCAAAGTGACTTCCTCAAGAAGCCTGTTACTTTGCTTTATAACAGACTCTGCCTTAATATTCAATCTGGGGTTTAATATGAATAAAAAGGTGAAACTCACCTATTGTTAGCAAATCTCCAGGTGCTGATGCTACACTGCCTGAACTCATTAAGTATGAAAAACCATACTCCTGCAACATCTGCATAAATTTCTTTTGCCTCTGCTGTATGTAAAGGACAGTGCCCAGGTATATAGGATTCAAAGATGGTAATCCTGTGCAAGACAGGCGACTGCAGCAATTGGAATAGCTATCAAGGTATCTTCTTGCAGAGCACATTGTAAAAGTATTGCCTGTGTTAATCCGATCAGATTGCAAATCCTGGCTGAATATAACTAGCACGAATCCCAGTCTGACTTCAAAACAGGAAGCTTTACAATTGACATGATCTTCTCAATCCGGTGACTGCCTGACATTTGTCATGAGCGAAGGCAGCTATTACCTACTGCCTACATCATTCTCACCAAGGCATTTGACCAAATGAACAGGAGTTCACTTAAGCTGCCTGACACCCAAGACAAAAAAAAGTGACAAGCCCTCTTCAGAGAGTTGGTCTATGTCAATGATTCTACATTAGCATTCTATGTGGAGGAACACGTCCAGAGGCAAATGGACAGGCATTGTCATGCCTGTAAGGAGTCTGCTTTGGCCATCAGCATCAAAATGCCATGGTCCAGGATGCTGTTATAATATGTCAATGCAATGACAGAACATGTTGTTGAATGTTATTGATAACTTTGCATTTCTAGACTAAAATCTGGTACTTGAGGCTGACACAATCCAGCACAAAGCAGCCCATTTTATTGGCACCACATTCACAAACATCTACTCCCTCTATTACAGAGGCTCAGTAGTAGCAGTGTGTCCTATCTACAAGCTACACTGCAGAAATTCACCAAGGTTCCTCAGGTAGCATCTTCCAAACCTCCGACTGCATCCATTCAGAAAGACAAGGCAGCAGATACATTGGAGCATCACCAATGTATCCACTGTAGTTACTCACCATCTTGACTTGGGAAAAGATCACCATTCCTTCCCTATTACTGAATTAAAAATCTTGGAACACCCTCCCTCAAGGCATTGTGGTCCAAGTACCCCAATTAGACTGCAGCAGTTCAAAAAGGCATCTCATCACCACCTTCTGAAGGGCAATACATGCTGGTCCAGCCATCGATGGCCACATCCCATGAATAAGAAAAATGCCAACTTCACCTAGCATACACTCATTAATATTGGTTTGGGCACGTTTATTGATTGATGACACTACAAATCCACATGGACCTTTGTATGTGGAAGTAGCTACTGCATTACAGCCTTCTGGAAGTCCACACCTCTAAAAACAGGACACATGAAAGTGAAATATGAAAATAGCAGAAACTAACAGTGTAAACTTAAGATAACTACTGACAGCAGTAAGCTTTGGCAGCTGACTGCTCAAGGGACGTTACAAAGGATGAGCAAGGAAAACCCAGCTGACCGAGAAAAACTAAGGCCAGTGAATATTGCACCTTGTCAGCTCACTGTATCCCACTGCAGCTAATGCATTGTCACTGCCGTGCCAGAGTGTGGCTCCTGAACCACACTAGGCCATACTAAACATAAGAATTACCACCAAAGCACAAGTATTTTCTGAGACAAAAGGCGGTCACAAGATGGATGGCTTTTGCTGCAACTACATCATCTAAATCTGGAGTCACACCACCCAACCGCAAAGCCAAATAAGCAAGACTTCCTAGGATAGTGCAGCATTTTATGGTGCTTTAAAATCTGCTCTGATCTTAATATTCAAAACAGGTTTAAGATCAACATGAAGTTACAATTGCTTCATAACAATCCTAACCTTGCTGAGTAGCCAACTTAAAATAAGACATGAAATAACTCTACAACGTCTGCTGTCGTGCTTAATTTCAATCCGCAAGACTGCCCACTTACTATATTGTAATATTTTATCATTCATTAGGAAGGAGTTTAACTTATCTCATTAGGATTATATGCTCATTCAAAATATTTTTCTATTAAATGCTTTAATAAAATCTGAAGTTTTAAAAAGACAATAGATCTCCTTTGCAAATATTAAAGGAGGTGCCCTGCTTCATAAGTAAGATTATTCCATGTTAAAAGAAAGTCAAGGTACAGGACATTCCCGAGTCCTCCAGACACATCTTAAAGCAGAAACCTAATAACGAAAGTTAATGCAAATTTTAAAACTGTAATAATTTGAGAAAACACCACGTACAGGATATGCAAAGAGATCCACTGGCTGTCTAAAAGGTTCAGAGTCCTCACACTGGAACATGAGGTTCAGAAACTCTCTGCATTGCTCTTTCCAGGCATTAACATCAATACTGAGCGCTGGCCTTCTGTTCAACTGCCTTGGGAGCCGATGCTGAGGTAAAGAGAAGAAATATGCTCGGTTAAAGGCAATTTTGTTTGCGCGGAGGAGGCAAGAGAGCAGGAGAGGTAGAGGAGGAGATGAGGGAGGGAGATTAGATTGTACTTTAATGATAAACTATTAAACCAGTTAGCATGGCATTGTTTTTATAAGTGGAACATCATTGGAAATAGGAGTAGTGTTGTGTCACTGTTACTGTCCTTCTACATTTGGAACCTAGCTTTCCCAGTTTTCGAGTGAAGGCAGTGACATGTAGTCTCTCACAGAGTGAGGGAACAAAGGAGCAGCATGAACAAAGAATTAAACAGCCCTGGCCACATGGAACTGCTCTTTTTTAACAGTTATCAGGAGTAATAACGTCTACATTTATCAACCTTTCAATATCAGTTCGGACGCTACATTCAAAGGAAGAATGGGTGAGAATGTTTAAAGCAAAATTATGATGATTAAGACAAACTGAAAATTTTTAGCTGCAGCTACATTACAAGAAAAGGGTACAACTTATTATACAGAATAATAGGCAAATAAACTGTATACTGCTATGACACGAAAATCAACCCAATGAAACAGTGCAATAACAAATGAAATTTTCGACAGGTATGCACTTTTATACTCACTATTGTGTCTGACGAAGTTCCTGGAGCATCAGAATCTAATTCTGCAGCCATTTCCTAGATTTATTTGAAAGTAAGTTAAAAAATTAACAAAGTGGATCTAAAGGAAGCTTTTAATTAAACTGGCTTATTTTGCAGATTAAGTTTACTCAGGCAGCAAGTACTGCTTGCAGCTTTTGCGAAATATTCTTTTATCCTATAACATTAATGTCTGTACAAAGGCAAATTTGTTTAGTAAATTTTGTATATTATACATGACTGCACAAACAACTTAGGAGTTTGGGTAGACCATTTGGCCCTTCAAGCCTGCCCACATAATCAATAAAATCGAGGCTGATGCTGATCTCAATTCAACTATCCTGTCTGCCTCCCATAGCCCTGAATGTCCTTGTGTAGCAAAAAATCAATTTGGCCTTGAATAAATGTCTACTCTGTGCAAAATGGACTGGACACGGCTGAGGGCCCTAACAACCACTTTGGTGGGAAATCCTTGGTTGAGGAAAAAGGTGGCCAAAGCATCTGCTTTTTTGTTGTTTACACACCGCACATCCCAGGTTTTGTCATCACATGGGCTGCATTCATCACAGCCAACCCATCTTCACCCACTGATTGCCCCCATTAGCAGTTTTAATTTCTCCCCAACTCACCATCATGCATTCTTTTGTCTGCTAAACTGCTGTTTTTTCTCTCTATCTGGGCTCCAGCTTCACCCATTGTTCACTTTTTTTTTCTCCTCCCTCTCCTGCCCCATCCTGGTTTTCAGCGTAAATATCACGTTTCCAAGCTAAAATCAGTTCTGAAGAAAAGGTCACTGGACACAAAGTGTTGACTCTATTTTCTCTCCACACTGGCTGCCAGACCTACTGGAATTATCCTGCATTGCCTGTTTTCTTAATCTATCTATATCTGTATCTCGACTCCAACTCCTCTTGATAATTTATTTTCCTGCCTAACTAGGCGTTCTCAGCAAATTCATCTACCATACACTCAGTCCAGAACATTGATAGTGTGCACTTACTGAAGGCCCCAATACCAATCCCTCAGAAAACTCACTAGTTATAGCTTGCCAACCTAAAAACAACCCACTTATCTTTGCTTTTGGTTAGATATTCTTCCTATGGAGGACAATTATGTAACACAGTTAACTTCACATATCAGGGAAGGTTTGGAGCGTTTTCTTCAACGGAAGAGAAAATGAGTGACTTAACCGAGTTTTGAGGTGATGAAAAGCTTTGATAGAGTAGATAATCTCTTTGGTGAGCAAATCAATACCTACAAGTCATACAGACTTAGAGGGGAGATGAAGTAACGTCTTTTGCACTGGGTTGTTGGAATTCAGTATGCTCGACCTAACAGAAGAAATGGTGAAGGCTGATTCCATAAACAATGTAAAAACTGGACTTAGACAGTTATTGGAGGATGAGAAACTGTCACAGATCTATAACGATTATATCTATATGAATTCTGATAACACACTAAAGAGAATAGATCTTTTCCAATCAACCTTAAAACTTCTCATCACTTTGAAAGTAACTCTCAAGTTACCTTCAGTACCTTTAAATAACTCTCATACTTCTCTGCTCTAGGGAGAGCAACTCTAACTTGTCCAATGTTCCATCATTATGTTAAATGTACCACCCAATCGTCCACCATAGGGACAGTATCTACTCTACATCAGACTTGAAATAAAGAGGCAATCACTCCAATGTCTAGTAGTATTTGAAACACAGCACATCCCATATTTAATCTCTTTACAGAAAGTAAACCAGTTGATATTTTTGATGGTAATGTTGCGAAGATCTCTCACCTTGTCATTTTCATCACTGCTAAGTTCCTCTGCCTTAACTTTTTCATACAGCTCTAACATGTTGGTGCAACTCTGGTCCCTATAAACAACAAAGAAATGGTAATTGGTAAACTATGGCATAAAATCAAACATTAAGAAGATTGTGCAAACTTTGCTGTTCATAAAGTAAAAGAAAACATCAACTCACCCAATGAACTGAAGTAATGTGTCTGTAATTAACTTGGCAGACTTGACAATTGGACTGTCGAGCTCATTGAAAGTTCTAGCATTATGTTCAATATATCTTACTTCCCACATCAGGGCAGAAACTGTCCTAGAATTCAGACGTCAACAACAAGGCATCCATTATCAATCCAGCAGAGTCTACAACTATACTGAAATGTACCAATTACTGGTCACAAGTATTATTTTTTACCCACTTCATTGATTTTGTTTCTTGTTGATGAATAGCAAACATATTGATTTTGTATTTACATCACTCAATTTCTAATCGCAGCAACTTAGTCAGAAGAAAGAAAAAGTGGTTTGGAAGAAGGGAAGCTGCTGGCAAATTTAGAAAAGCCTAAACATGGTGATAAAGTGGGATCTCTTCAGTGAAGTATCAGGTCCTCACGAAACCTCATGGCATCAGGTCAAATACGGGCAAGGAAAGCTCCTGCTGATTACACCCTACAGTCCCCCTCCTCAGCCAATGATTTGAAGTTGTGCACAAGTTGGAGGAAGCATCGTCAAGTGTGGCAAAGTTACAGAATGTATTCTGAATGAGGGAGCATCACTACTGACTGAGCCTTAAAGGATAGATGCTAGAACTAGATATGCAACAGGTGATGAGAACATCCACTTAGCCTTGTTCTCACTATGCTACCTGAGGCAGTTACGTCCACCTATCACAGTAAATGCTGGGTGCCCTGTACAGTGTCCACATGGACATAGTACCATCTTAACATTGAGGATACCCTCCTACATGTTATGAGACATGAATAAATGAAACAGATTTCAAGAAGATGTAACAATTCACAACTGGGTATACACGAGGTGCTGTTGAACATCAGAAGCAGCAGAACTGCATTCAGACACAATTTGTAACTTCTGGTGGGTATATTCCCACTCTACATCCACCATTGAGCCAGGGGATCAACCCTGGTTCAATGAAGAGTGCAGGAGAGCAGGAAAGGAGCAGCAACAGGCATCTCCATAAATGAAGTGTCAACATGCTGAAGCTACAACACAGGATTACTTTTGCACCAAACAGCAGTTTATCAAAGCTAAGCATAGAATGACATTTCCTAATATCAAAATAACATTGGGAAACATCATGGTGAGAGCATGGAAGACAGAAAGACAGACTATGACCCCAGGCAGAGCATCCATGTGAATGGAATAAGTAGAATTAAGCAACATTTACAATTTGAATGAAAGAAATATACTCCCAATAAGATGATGCAAGACACTGTAGTAACAAAGAATAGGCTTGTGCATTGGCAGGGCACATGTTTAACATCCAGTCCCCACAGTTAATTTGTTGCTCTTAATGATGTAGGGTAGGCGATGAATTCCAATAAATATCATTCTCAATGACATTACGACAAGCCTGCCATTTGTCCCAGGTAGTGTTTTGTGCAGACAACTAGCAAGCCGCATCCACGAACACCAGCTAGCAACTAAACGACACGATTAGATGTCCTTGGTTTCAATACAGATGAGATAAACTACACTTTCAACTGGGATAACACTACTATCATTGGACAAGCCAAACAGAGGACAGCCAGGGAAATTCTTGGAAGCTTGGCATTCACCCGCAGACCCCATCAACAAACACACTGAATTAGATCAGATATACCAACTATTACAACGTACAGCCAGAACCGGCACTTACCGGAAGCAGAAAAAACCGGGCCATGTAAATTTGAACCGGCACAAGACAACAGCGCTTCACAGGAGGCTCTACAGCACTGAAGATGCCACTTAGTGAGGGGATGAAACATCTGCTATCAAACCTCCCAGCTCGGCAAACACGCCAACATCTACAACCAGCACCCGAGCTACAAATCTTCACTCAAACCCTAAACATTGGAATGTGTGTGTCTGGAAAAGAAAGAGCCAAATTCGCCTCTCTGCTATGGGGCCTGGCAGATGGAACATGCTCCTCTTGCACAGATCTGCATGTACCTATATGTCTCAGTTCTGATCCTTTCTATAGGCCAAAGTTTCCCAGCTTAATCTGCCGAACAGAACATACTCGGGTTAAGAGAATGGGAACTAGTATTGGATGTCTGGCTACTGTCACGAAACAATGATTGGAAGGCCATCCTGGTTTCTTCCCAGAGATAACACAATGTGGAGCTGGAGGAACACAGCAGGCCAGGCAGCATCAGGGGAGCAGGAAAGCTGACGTTTCGGGTCAGGACCCTTCTCCCGACCCGAAACGTCCGCTTTCCTGCTCCCCGATGCTGCCTGGCCTGCTGCGTTTCTCCAGCTCCACACTGTTATCTCTAACTCCAGCTTTGGCAGTTGTTATTATCTCTGAATGGATTTTTCCCACTCTTGTTGAGAATTAATTTGGCCCTTAAAGCTGTGTTAACTCAGCATACCATATTTGATATTTCCAGTGTAGCATGGGATCTAATCTAACTATCACATTAGTAACCAGCCTTCATCAAATGTAAAGAGAATAGTCCTAAGAATCATTAAAGTTTTGATTCATGTCAAACATTTACTAGACATCACCCTACTCTAATATCAATGCAGTATATTGAAACTAAGAAGATTTCAGTCTTAAAAAGAATGAAAAATTAAGTTTCAAGCATTAACTGTCAGTCTCCAAAATAAAGTACATCGACAGGGACAGGAAGGGAGAAAGGGGAAAGAAGATCCAGGGGATAAGCCATACAATCCCCTTTGAGAAAGGCTCAAAAAGACTGAAGGAAGAACAAAGACTGTTGAAACAGACACCACCATAAAAGAAAATAGGACAATTGGGACTTAGGAGTGTGCTGCCTCTGTTCCTTCATTCTACAGAATGGCTCCAGGATCAGTAAAGCATTCTCATCTACCATGGGTCATATATTTCAGTTCTTTGCCTAGTGTACCATGTCTAACTGCTTCTCTACAAACTATCAGAAAATTGTTATGAATTGTTCACTGCCTATATTAGGTAACTGATCATGAATACCCTAAAACCAACACCCAAGAAGGTATTGAGAGACTGGTAACCTTGAGTACCCACAATATTCTAATGCTCTGATTACAAAGGGCTGGGCAGAGGGTTTAAGGTATCAATGCCTTGGTATTTTGAATTTGCAGCATTTATCCGCATCTTGTGTTGTCATAAGAGTCTTCACTATCTTTTGCAACTGGTTTACTCCCAACAACAGGATTTAGGTTCTCTTGATCTCTAAAGTACGTTTATAACATTGTGTGAATAACTAACTATATGAATAAAGATGAGCATATCTACAACATTTTGCTTCTTTGTGTTTCTAATAGTGAGAACAAATATTAAGTTGTTCTGTAAATTTCAACTAGCTATTTTAAAGTGGCAATTCAAAGCAATGTTTAGATTGATTATTCATGTTTCACTTTTACATCACTGGTAGTTATTTCTGTCTACCTAATTCTGATTTATAGTGATTGGTGATCGTCCCCCTTTGCCCCATAACCTATTTTCATTCTTGTATGCGCTTTTGGTTAGCACGTCACACTCCTCTTCACTTGGGATTGTCTGCTGTTTTGTGAATACTAAGTTGATCCAATTCAGTGCAAATGTTGATACTAAAGTCTTGCATGATTAGTGTGAAATCACATTTTATGACAGAGTTGACAAAGGTGATGTACTGCCATTAATTCTTTTATTATCTGACTTCTACTATAATATATACCTTGGATAAAAGGATAATATTTTAATATTATGGGAATTTCACTGCATACTCACTATATTATTAAACTTCATGTATAATGACTGAATAAATCAAACTGAGTATTACCACTAAGATCTTTATTGTTTTTATTGCAGAGGGAATTGTGTGACTCCAATTTTTTTTTTTGAAAATGCTCCACCTATCTCCAATGTAGCACATGCTATGTGCCATCTTTATATATATCCTGGGCTTTAGAGGAAAGGAAGTGCTATAAAGTAAATAGAAGTTCAAACAATGCTGAAAGCTGATAATTTCCATTTACTCCCAAAATTCTTCACAATTTACATGGTGTGGTCTTGCTCCTTTCCAGCAGCAGTTTAAATCCGACGTAAGGACTATCTTTTTATTTTTGCACTTTTTAAGTACTGTGGAATGAAATTAGAAGTAGCTGTTTTAAAACCAGTGTTTGGAAGGGTGTCAGTATATTTTGAAAGCAATTAAGCTGACATTCATGGCAAGCACAATTTAAACAATTGTTTGAACAAGCGATAATTGAAGTTTGAGTTGCAGATGATTTGGAGCCAAGGGGTGCATGATGCAGCTTTTGTTACTAACACAAAGTTGCTTGGTCTATGGACTGGCAACCAGTCAATGACAGAGACCTTTTGCCTGCCAACAGCTGTGTGATTAGTCCTCAGGTAACTGAGCAGCTTGGAGCTGGGAACAAGTTAGACAGACTGCTCAATTCTTCTCCAGCTCAGAAGCAGTCCCTCTGTTTTACAGTTAAAATTGACTTTAAACCTGAAAAGAAAGTTGTTGTAAGCTGTGGCTTCTAACTGGTGAGTCAGAAATTTTGTAATTGAACCGGCCACCTTGTGTCTCTTACCAGTTAGTAGAAGCATCTGGAGAAAGATGACTGAAGCAATGTACTGGCCAGAAGAACCATAAAGATATTTCAGCCACATAACCTGGGAACAACGACTACTTAACTGTCTTTGCAGTTTGTCCCCCTTTGCCCCGTAACCTATTTTCACTATAGTTTATAATTGCATACCTGTAGCTAGAGTCTAATTACTGGTAACAACAGTCACAGGCATGGCACATGCACCCTTGCAGTGGTAATGGGAAAAGCAAATAGCAGAGGATAGTTTCGATCCACTAAGCTCTGGGTAATGGGTATAGCATGCTCTTGCTGTGCCACTCTGCTTCCTTCCCTCCATGATAAGGTCAGAAGTGGGAATGTTTGCCAACGGCTGCATAATGTTTCGCACCATTCGTAACTCCTCAGATGCTGAAGCAATCCATGTCCAAATTCAACAAGATCTGAACCATATCCAGGCTTGGGCGAGGAAGTGGCAAGTAACAATTGCACCATACAAATGCCAGACAATGTCTCTTACTAGAGGTGGTCAATATAACCACCACCCCATGACATTCAAAAGTGTAATCACAGAATTCCACCACTATCAACATCCTCAAGGTTACGACTGACCAGAAACTCAACTGGACCTCGCCACATAAACACAGTGACTACAAGCACAGGTCAGAGTCTAGGAATGCTGCACTGAGTAACTCACTTCCCTGACTTCCTGTACCCTGTCCACCTTCTAGAAGGTGCAAGTCAGGAGTATGACGGAATACTCCCCACTTGCCTGGATCGATGCAGCTCCAATAACCCTCTAGAAGCTTGATATCATTCAGGACAATGCAACCCCTTGATAGGCACCACATCCAAAAGCAACCAATCCCTCAGCCAACAACACTCAGTTGCAGCAATGTGTACTCTCTACTAGATGCACTGCAGAAATTCAAAGATCCTTAGACAGCATCTTCCAAACATGTATCTAGAAGAAGGGCAGCAGAAACCCTAGAATACTCTCTAGGGGCATTGTCAGTCAACATACAGCACATGTACTTCAGCAGTTCACCACCATCTTCTCAAGGGCAACCAGGGGCAGGCAATAAATGATGGCTGCCCACGTCCCAGGAATGAATAAAAACAAAATCCCCCCCACCTCACTGGATATATGGGCAGAGCAGTTCTATTAGAACAGAGCATAAACTGAGAAACAATTGAATTAAAAGAAAACAAAAGCTGCTTCAATTGGAAACAGAATCTTGATCCATGAATCAAACATGACTCTACTTTAGTTTTGACAATCAATTTCTTAAACCTGCAAAGAAAACTTGAAAAACAATGCAAACATGTGGTGGAAATACAGAAGACCGGAATTCTAAAAGTTCATGTTTCCTGAAACCTGAAAGTAGTTGTTCCATTAAAAATATTACAGAAGGTGAATAGGGAATTCAGATAAATGTTCTGGTTGCAGAAATTCATCTGGTGGGACTATGGACCATCATATTGGGTATGTGCTCTACTCAGCACTTGATACTTAATTGGCTGTGACAGAATGTGTTCAATATTTACCAGTCCCAGTTTACATTTTTGCCTCCTGCTTTGCTCCACAGACAGAAAAAAAAAGGCCTCCGAGTTTCTAACATGTCACAGCATAACAGGTACTTACATTTAGAAATTTTAAAAAAAATTGTGGACTGGTACCTAACGGTCATTGATTCATATCGCATTTGACTTCAAAATCCAGGCCGAATGGAATTCAATAAATCCAGTAATTTGTTCAAGAATACCTTTTCACTATTCCTACCCTGGTTTAGACACAATTCTAGTCCCACACAACATGCTACAATGGAAGTTTCCACTACCACCTACTCACTGTAATTAGGGTTGGGGAATAAATGCAAAGAATTGAAGGAAACTTCTTTTCTGAAGCAGAAGTGACAACTCACCTATAAAACCCGTTTTCTAATTTCTTCTTGATGGTGCTTAGGTCTGTTGGATATGCAACCACAGTGCAATATAGTGGATAGGCACAGAGATCCACAGGGGCAGAGAATGGTGCGGCTATTTCTGCCGAATAAATTAAAATTTGCATACTTAGTACTTTTATTGGTTTCTCTAAAGCATTCATTTTGCTAATATCTGACTTAAACGATAACAGATTTTAATCATTTTAACATCTCTACACAATAGTCATTACCAATAATTTAAAACTGAAAATAACTGCTGTGGGCAATTACCAAGTGTCATCAGTTGACTGATTCCCTGAATGATACGCTTATGTTGTTCATCTGCAGAACTAGATCCCCATTCACCCTCCTGAGGTTTATATAACAAGCGTTTCAGTTCCTCTGGAGTAACAGGAACACTGGCACCAATTTCTTCAGGGTAGATAGCTGCAAAAGCAAACACCATTGATACTAAAAAGATGGATGTCTTGCATTTTTTTAGGAAGTGAAAGAAGTAATTCTAGAAAGTGGTTTCTAATTCCTTTGTAACAATCATCTTAAAATATCCTAAACTGCAAAAGTGTATGAAATTATGATTGTTTAGTGTATCTACTGGTGAGGTATTAACTTTTAGATAGACTAATTGCTGTGTCAAAAGTGAATAATGTAATCTGAGAATTTCAAAATCAGATTTTATTTCAGAAAACATTCTACAATTGCTCCAACAAATTTTATCTTAACATGAAATTCCAAAATTCATGCAAAAAGGGGAAAATTACTTAAATCTATTAAAATGAAATTATTTACTTCAGATATGCAAAGAACAGTGCAGGGATATTATATACAGTTGTTTTATATGCATTTTCAATACAATACTGTCAAAATTAATTTAAGTGTCCTACCATCATCTGGAATGGGTTCCATGTCCCATGGGCTCATCTTCTCCAACTCGTTATTATCCCAGCTACAAATACCACAAATAATTTAAAGAACCTTTAAGATTGCAGATTCAAAGATTTATCAGATGTGCTTAGTATCACAGCAACTGTACATTTTAAAAAGAGGTGCATTATCAAAAGGCAAAACTAATATTGAATAAAGATGAGAAAAATGGTCAGAGCAGGCAGCTATATTCAGCTGACACGTCACTGCCAACGCAAACGGCAACTTAGCTAGCCCCTTTTCACTCGTAATTTCACTCATACTCCTGCAAACTTTATTTCAGATGATCATTCAATTCCCACTTAATATATCCATTCACTGTTATTTTGTTAACTTACACATCTTTGTATCGATGCTGCCAGTACTCCTTTTATTCCAAGGGCTTTAACTTTAATGTCAAACTAGTTATGCATCACATTTTAAAACCATTTTAGAAGTACGCATTAATTGCATCAACCAAATTACACTCATTAACTTACCCTGTAATCTTATCAAAAAAAGCCAAGGAAGTTACTTTTTAGCCTAGAGCTGAGAGTGTATGCAAATGGAAATTAAGTACAGAAACGGTCAACCCGAGTCTGAAAGTCAGGTAAATGTGGGCATTCTGCATTTTTTTTTTCAGACAACTGCCAAAATAGCAGGGCTGAGTCTCCAACAAGCTACCCAAATAAAGTGCAATCAGACATATATTCTTATTCTGTCTCCTTACATAGGCCTCATCTTTGGACCCTCATCGGTCTCACTCCTCCTTTTACCACACTCTTATTATTTGTATACAATAAAGGACTTCTTTCCTTTTACATTAGTTTATACTATGCTCCTTACATTTTACTGTCCCTCCAAGATTTCTATATTCAACTTCATTCCAAACCGTATCAACTGAAATTCGTCGGACACATTTTTCTGCTTCAGTTTATTCACTATTTCTTGTCACCCAGGGAACTCAGGGGGGCTTTGTGGTCCTTCACCCTCATGTGAGAAAATACCCAACCTATCTCCTCCTGACAGGTAGCCCACTGTTCCTTTGTAGCCAGATGATAAATCACCACTCGAATCTTCCTCCAACTGAGCTACTTCATTCACCAGAACCAGATCCAGCAATCACTTCTTTCTCATTGGACCAATATCCTAATGATGCAAACATATTATCTTGAGCACACTTCAGAAATTTTTCCCCCTCTCTCTCCGCCCTTAACACTATTACTAACGCAGTCTGTTTTGGGATAAATGAAAGCCCTTTATAACTATTCTACATAAAGTTTAACTTCTCCATTTACCTGAAAAACTTGGCCCTTTATCTTTTCCAAAAGGATGGCCTATAATACAAGCCTCATGTAATGAGATTCTTTTTAGATCTAACCAAATAGATACTGGCTTAGAGTCAGAGTCATACACCATACAAACAGGCCTTTTGGCCCACCAGGTCTATGCCAAACAACAAACACCAATTACACTGATCCGATTTACCTACACTTGGTCCATTACTTACTATACCCTGCCAATTTTAAGTGCTCATCCAGATGCTTCTCAAAATGTTGAGAGTGTACCTGCCTCTACCACCCTCTCAGGCAACATGTCCTATATTTCTACCACTCTGGGCAAAAAATATTTTTCTCAGATCTCTTCAAAACCACCTGCTCCTCACCTTAAACTTACGCCCTCTCGCCTTAGAAACATGTGCCACGGGGAACAGATTCTCAAGATCTAGTCTGAGATGTACAAAACTGAAATATATTACAATCAGATTTTTCCTCAGCCTCCTATGCTCCAAGGAAAACAAACCCAGCCTATCCAATCTCTCCTCATAACTGAAACTTTTCATACCAGACAACATCCTGGCAAATCTCTTCTCCAGTGCAATAACGTTCTTCCAATAGTGTGGCAACAAGAACTTCAAATAATATTCTATCTATCTGCAGCCTAACCAATGTTTTATAAATCTGTTCCAAGACTACCTGGCTAAAGACAAGAATCCAGATGCTTTATTCACCACCTTAACTACCTGTGCTAGACTTGTACACCAAGATCCCTTTGTTCCTCAATATTCCCTGGGGACCTACCATTCATTGTCTTTATCCCTCCCTTATCGGACCTCCCAAACACATCACGTTGCACTTATCAGGATTAAGTTCAATCTGCCATTGATCTGCCCAATTTACCAGTTGATCAATACCAGGCTGCAGCCCGAGACCATCCTCTTCACTACCAACACCACCAATTTGTGTGTCATCTGCAATTCTATTAATTATACCTTCCACATTCACACCCAAGTTGTTCATGTGCATAACAAACAGTGCAACAAAATGGTACACCACTGGTCAAAAGGTTTTCAATCACTAAAACATCCCTCCACCATCACCCCTTGCCTCCTATTTTCAAGCCAAGCTTGGATCCAGTTTGCCAACACTCCTTGGATCCCATGGGCTCTTACCTTTTGGACCAACCTTCCACGTGGAACTTTGTCAAAGGACTTACTGAAATCTGTGTAAACCACATCAACTGTATGACATATTTAGTCACCTTTTCAAAAAACTCAACTAAGTTCAGCAGACAGGATCTCCCTTTAACAAATCAATGCTGTCTATCCACGATCAATCCCTGCCTTTCCAAGTGTCGATTAATTCTATTGCTCAGAATTTTTTCTAACAATTCCCCAACCACAGAGATTAACTGTCCTCGTTTGTTCTGACATATGTTCCCTCTAGCATTCTCCATCCCCAGACACCCAATTTAAAACAAAATTGCCGAGCAGAAAGTGAAACTATTTCAAACCTTCTTGAGCACACTTTAGGTTTAATTCTTATAAATTAAGAAAATCATTTTATTTTTCATTAAAATTTTATCTTCTACCACAGGGAACAAAACATCAAAATTCCACAGGAATGTCAGTTCCCTTAACTGCTGTTTTTTACTTAAATAACAGAATATTTTATTAGTACAAAGTTGTATTTCAAAATAAATACTTTGAACAAAGCATAAATGGAACAGCAAGGCAAATCTAACAGCAAGCAGACAGCTAACCATTAAAGACAAGAGCCAGAGGAGAATTCTACTTCTGAAGTGCTGGATTTCTAAAATAAATAGTTTAAGTCCTAGTAAATAAACCATCCTCTGATAAGTGTTCAGTTTTATCTCTGGATCTTATTCAAATCAAAATGTAATACATCTAAAAAATTCATTCACACCACCCAAAAGATAATAATTCCTCACCAAACATTGTAACATTGGAATAAACTATCAGGATATTCAGGCTGAAAAGGCTGCTGACTCTGCACTGTTCCAAACCACCAGGCATCATCTATTATACTGCGAAACGTGTCTCCTGGTAAAACAATAAACAGAACAATTTTAAGCATCCCTCAAAGTACTCAACTGTGATTGCAACCTAACTTTTACCTGAATTATCTTGCAATGGCAGAAACTGTAAATGTGTTGACCACAAGGTGCAACCAATATTCATTATAAATCATATTGTTATGATCCAGTGGAAATCAGTATCTGAATGCAAAAAATGTGAAGATCACAACAAACAGCTGCATTTCTTTGACAATGCCAAACAAAAACATAAAATAAGGTTAGAGCGGTCATAAACCCACAATAATTTCATGTGCTAAAAATTACTGTTGCATTCTTAGTGTCAACACCAAGAACATACTTACTCTATATTTCTAGCAGTTATTGACACGGTGTTCACACACTAGTTTTAAAGCTCCATTTTCTCCGCAGTCAATCATTGCAGTCTAACTCAATTTAACATCTCTGCCTCCAAACACAAACTTTGCCTTTCTCTTGGGCTGTCTTACCATATTTCTGTTCAACAACTGTTATGTTGAAACATTAATAAGGTTTTTCAATTATCAGGAGTAACTGTCATTGCATGTCCAAAACTAAAACAAAGACTATTGAGATTAGAAACAAACTTATTTTTAAAAAGTTTCTTCTTCTCTATTCCATTATTTCCCAGTTAACTTTACTCTCAACTCCTTAACTAAACCTTTTAATGTCTTACCTACTAGATATTACATTTTCTCTATGGCACAATGAGATGAGTTCTAACATCATTTGTGTCATCGCTGAATCTGCCTCTTTCCACCTCCTTAACATCACCCAATTTCAAACTCCGTCATGTCTTAAAGGACATAAAGTCCTAATTCCTCTATGACCCCCATACTTGCTGACCTACAGTGGCCCAGGTCTTGATTTTCAAATTCTAATCCTTATTTTAAAACCCTTTCAAGACCTACTCTTACTCAACACTCTGATTTCCAAGCTCTAGAACTGTCCAGGATATCTATATTCTGCCAAGTCTGGCCTCTTGAGCATCCCTGATTTGAATCATTTCACCACTGGTGGCATGCCTCTGGTTGCCAAGACTCAAAGCTCTCCCTTTGCTTCTCTGGCTTGCTACCTCATTTCCTTTGAGGCAATCTTTAAAACTTACATCTGATCATGTTCCTGGTTATCTAACCTAATATGTCCTTGTGTTTTGGTGCTGTGAAGCACCATGGGACATTTATAAAACAGATATTTTAGCACACCACCTGAATACACTAACCCTATTTTCTGTGCTGTGCTGGAAACCTCACATTAATATTTCATATTAGAAAAAGTGGACTGGACTTTATATATCCCATTGCAGCAGGAACCATGGTAACTGCAATCACGTTATAGCTGTAGGAGACCCATGTCAGTTTCCCGGTGGCAGGAGAACCTCCACCAATTGAGTGAAAGATGGATGGGGAGATGCAGACTCCTTGAGACACGTGAGATCCATTATCATACCAGAGATGCATGGATTCCCAAATCCTCAGACTATCCAGCAAATTCCGCTGGTTTTCCCAGTAACTCTCAACATCAGCTGCCTTCATTTCACCAACTTTGCCCCAAAGTGGACTTCTCAACTTTGCATTTTTGTCCATAACGGTCCTTGTTCTCTCTGCCACACCCATCTCTACTGTAATTGACAGCAGAAATCCGTCAGCAAGTAAATGTCTGCATACTGTTTCCTTCGGTCAAAACTCAAGGCCCCTCCTTCATCGACACTGGATGGTACAGGAGAAGACTATTCCACCCACTGCATCTATATTTACTGCAAAAGAGGTGTCCAGTTGAATAACTTTTTAATCCTGTAGGCTGGGGCACATCAATTGCATATCCACTTTGTTTGTAACATCAATGATTGTTCTATCTCTACCAGACATTCAGACAGAGTCCCAGACTCCCACCACATGTTTGAAGAAAACATCTTTTCAGATTTTCTCAAATCCTTCTGCTAATTTGAACGGTGATTCTAGCTCTTGCTCTCCACCCAGAAATGTGCACTTCCTCTGCTCCAAAGAACATAAACTCCGCCTCAGCAATCTTTCCTCAGTTAAAAATTTTCATTCTAGGCAGTATCATTAAATTGCTCTCTTTTGTCAATTCGATTCACTCCTCTTCTAAAAATGGTCCAAATGAATTCACCTTTCCATGTTATTAAATCTCCACAGCTCTACCAGTGCTGCCCTATCCAAATCCTCATCCCAGTTGCTAAAGCCCAAAAATACTCCAGTGTGACTTTGCTTTGCTAAAGAGCACATACCCAATTCAGTTAAACATCAATTACAATATGCCAGTGAATATGGTAGCAGCTACTGCTTCCATACAATAATGGCAGTTGTAGAATTTGATATCTAAATAAATACCAAAATATAATTTCAGAAAACATTTTTCAGCCTGTAAATCAATAGCCCTAATATTTTTCTTCTCATGCTTTGTAGTAAAAAATAATCATCAAATCCTGACCAGCAACACTGCAAGTACCATGTTACTCGTTTCAGTGTTATAAGACCACTTAACTAGCTATGGATTCAGATGCCCACATTAAAGGTGTTATTAGAAAAACTGGGATTTCTTTGGAGCTATCAAAGACCATTTCTCTTTAAAATCAATGCAATTCTGAAAAATCGAATCATGAAGCAGCAGAGAAGAAAGCGAATAAATGACATCACTTTTTAAGCTGACAAGAAGAATTCAAAGGAGGAAAACTCACCAACTTGCCAGTTTCTCTTTTTTGCTTCTTCATAAAATTGTCGCAATACTAAAAAGTCAATGACATCTGGCATATCATGATACCTAAAATATTGAAACATCACCAAAAGGTAGTTAGACCAAAAAAAATCCAAAACAATTTCCCTTTGAGTCCAAAAGATCAAAATTCAACATTTAACATTGGAATCAAGACTGCATCAGGGATTCAAGGAAATATGAAAATCTAAATAATTTTGCATGAATACAAAAAAGAAGAGAGAAGGAAGTATGCCTTTATGGTATTTAAAAAGGGCAGTTGAAAGAAAACAATAACTATAGCCTGGTTAGCCTGATATTGGTGGGGAAGTTGCTAGATTTAAACAGCAGAACACTTTGGCACAGTGATAGGATGGGTCAAAAACAGCACTGATTTATGAATAAGAAACCAAGCTTGACAGATCAACTAGAATTTTTCAAGGAGGTGGCTAGTATAGCTGATAAGGCAAGGCCAATGGATGCAGTTTACTTGGACTTTCAGAAGACTTTTGGTAAGGTCCCACATGAGAGATTAGCATGCAAAATCAAAGTGCATGAGATTGGGGTTAGTCTACAGATGTTCACAGAGAACCGGTTAGCTGATAGGAAACAAAGAATGGGAATAATTGGAACATTTACATATCCTTAGATAAGAGGATCAAAACTTTCCAGATGTAGTCTGACTAGGGCCATATATAGCTTTAGCAAGATCTCCATTCCCTTCGCTTTTCCTAATACCCGCTGAACTTGAATGCTAGCCTTTTGAGGTTCATACACTAGAACTTCAAAATTCCGTTGCTTAGCTCCCTAAACCCTGAAATAATATTCAGGTCAATTATTCCCGCCAAAGTGCATAATCTCTCATTTTCCCACATTAAATGCCACCTGACAAGTATTTGCCCACTCACTTAACCGGTCTATATCCCTCTACAGACTCATCACCCTCATTATTTGCCATCCCATCATCCAAAACGAAGCAGCCTGCTTGACTGATATGCTACCCACCACTTTAAACATTAACTCCTTTCACTACTGGCACAGTAGCAGAAGTGCTCACCCTTTATCAGATGCAGTGGAGCAACTCAAGAATCTTCAAAACCTCAGCTCCCCTACGTCAGGCCACTCTGATATGGAATCAGAGTTTGTTTTGCCAAGTAGTTTAAGATCTTTCACACTGTGCTCCATAATAAAAAAAAAACAAGCTATTTCATGTAATAAACTTGTTTTATTGTTAAAAGAAAATCTGCAGTCCTCTATACTTACGTATCCGTGAATGATCAACATGTTAAAAACACATGCATGATTCATCAAGCCATTTTGTTCTGGATTTCACTTATCCAGTCATAACATCAGCTGGGATTATAACATTAAGTTTTCTTGTTTGAAACTCTACTTACTTGAGAGAGAAAGATTCTCCAGTCATTTTGCCAGTGATGGGGTCTAGAAGAGAAAGCTTCAGACAACATAAAGTAGGTGGCCCAACTTCATACTTGATGCCAACCACCTTTACAATTTCTTGTTCCTATTGATTGTGGAGAAAATATGAAAAAGCTTGATTAGCAGAGGTCAACTGGGTTAATGTAAGCCGGCAGTTAACAAATTTAAACATCCTCGTTTCTCTGCAACGTGAATCTATTTGTAGTGATTGTGAAAGGTTGTTTCTGAAAATATCTTCCTGACATGAATTCATCACAGGTTATAACAAGCTCTTCAACTTAATGCAAAGGCTGTGATTTGGAAAATGCCTCCCAAAAGAACATTTGTAAAGTATAAATATTATGATTTGTTCTAATATGCTTTTGATCAGCAATTTTCTCTGCTTCATGCTCAAATTCATTAATTCTGGTCATTAGCAATCACCATCCCTACAGTAAATAAAAGGAATATTATCATGTCCCACTATTTCTGTTTGAATAGGTTTAATTGCAC